TATGGAAAAAGAAAATTCCAAATAGATACACTTTTTTAAAAATGTATTTAATACAGGGTCTACAGGGTCTCACTAGACAGACTTATACAGGTCTTGGTTTAACTTGGTCTTAAACATCCAGCAGAAAAGTATAACCACGAGGTAGAAAAGTAATGCCATATTAATATACTGAGCTGTATAAGGCTGGGCTGCAAAAGGCTCAAATCAACAACTTCATACAAATGCCAGTTCTGCTAATAACCCACTGGTAATAACAGTGATCATCCTGTTTTCAGCCTCCCAAGCGCTGGGACTACAGGCGCATGCCACCATGCCCAGTCTTATTCATCATCTCAGTACACCCTGGGGGTGGGGCCAGCATGGCACCCCAGGGATTGAACCACGGTCCCTATGTCTGCCCAAGCAGGTGCTTTAGTCCACTGAGCTATCTGGCTGGCCTGAATAGATAGCACTTTTATTGCTTTTTTCATTTAATTTCTTAACAGTAAACAGTGGGCCCTTTTCCTCTGGTAGTGTTTCTCTGTGGAGGGGGAGCTGAGTTGTATGGACAGAGGTCTGGAGCCAAAGGAAAGACAACTGCACGACAGACAGCTGCCGCTGACTACTTCTGTATAAGTTGACAGTAAGCTGATATAATTCAAAGCCAGTAGAAGGGTTTACAAGTTCTGAAGGGGAGAGAAACCCTTTCTATTGGGTAAGAACGTATGCTAGAATTTACCAAACATTATTTCAGGATAAGGGAAAGGGGACAATACTTATAAAGGACTGCAACAGTCCTTTAACAGTAGCTTAAACACACTCAGCAGAATACTTCTTTCAAAGCATGAGATTCTGTCCATGTCTATATTAGACGGTACATACTTTAAAACTATTACTGAGCATAGCTACTCTAAAGACGGGATTTTTAACAGGTAACTTTTGGACTAGCTTTCTTATTAACAGGCCACCACTGGGCTCAAGTTTTCAGGATACAATTTTATATGAGGACAAGCTGATTTTAGATATGGCTCTCCTGTAAATGATCAATTTTACATGTTAATGTCTGAAAGAAAATTCTGTCAGGTCCAACTTAAGATCATGGCCAATTTTTATGAACCCTTTAAAAATGCCTGAATAAAACAGGAACTAACTACTGGGTGAGCAGCATGACCTTAGGTGAGACTTCTAGTTATTAGTACTCAATGAATAATCTACATTTTAATACTGCTGTAAGAATCAGAGTGCTGCAGGGACCACAAAATTTCAGATAGCACAGAAACAGGGGATGGGACCAGGGAGATGGCTCAGTAGAATAAGCGCTTGCCTGGCAAACTCAAGGTCCTGAGTTCAATCCCTGGTTCCACCAAAAAAAAAAAAAAAAAAAAAAAAAAAAGCAAGAATGAAAGAAAGAAAACAGGTGAAAGACACAAGCTACTGATGTCCTCCCTGAACCTCCTTCATCCCCCTAGCACTGTGCTTGCCTAGTCCAGCTGTACGCAGCAGGGACTTGTGATCCTCCAGTCCCTGCCCTACCCACCCACTGCTCTCTGTGACTCTGGGAAGAAGAGGAGGATTTTCCCTCTTTTATACCAATGACAAGTTCTTAAAACTGGGTATGGACTGGCCTCAAGACATTCTTGCTCCTTCTCGCTATATTGTGAAGTATTAAGCACTATGAGGTTAAAATTACCTCAGGGGGTTTCAATTGGTTGATATTCAAGACATTAATAACAGACCAATTCATTACTCACTTGAGAACATTTTTTAAACTGAACTGCAAAGAGAAGTATATTTATGGAGGCCGTTCTCACCATCTAGTCATCCAGCCAAGTGTTTTCTAAGCTCAGGAGTCCCAAGTACTGTGTGAATATTTTTAAATGTTATGTTATCACTGTAATGATTATCTTTTTAAAAAGTATGGAAGTATGTGGGGTCATTTGGTGGCCACTTAGGAGCTGAGCGCTGCTGCACATGTGGGGCTGGGGCCCTTGGATCTCATCCATCACGTGGGGAACCCTGGAATGGAGAGATCCCTAGGCATCTACACGCTGGCCGGCTCAACCTGGCTTTTGAAATGGCTTCTACCAAGCCGCACTGTGGATTTTCCTTTTGCTTTTTGTTGGGAAGAACAACCACAGGACATGGCTGCTGTATCTGCGGCGGCAGAGTATCCAAAGCCAAGACACTTCAGTACGCAATGCTTCCCTTTAATTTCCACGTGAGAAACCATCAGAGAGAGGGCTGCCCCGTCCAGCAGGCTCTCCGCCTCTGAAAGCAGGAGCTGTGCATCTGACCCTCTTTCTTCTTTCACTTTGAGAGCAAATCTGATGTTTAACTCTGGCAACTACATAAGACACAGCCTGCACACCCATGGATACTCTGTTTAATTCTGACTTCCAGATTTTACTTACAAAACCTATGGTTATGCTTTTCTTTTCTAATTAATATTTTACCACTGTGTTATTGAATCTGTTCTTACTATAAAGTTGCTTCAAATCCTTGTGGCTAAGCAAGGCCACACACACACACACGCACACACGCACGCACGCACGCACACACACAGGATCTCTTTAAGTGATAATGATGGAGCTTTGATATGTAGTATCATCTCATAGTGGTCTTATGACAAGAGCTACTGGGTAAAAAAATACACAGTCATAATATTTATATGACACATACAAACTATTAATAGTTTATGTGTGTCAAAGTCTAGTAAAATATAGACTTCAAGGCAGAATGTTCTTCAAAGTATTCTATACAATTAAGAATCTTCATAGTGTTATAGTTCTAATCTCTTCTACAACTGGTTTGTACAGTAAGAGACATTATCGAGCAGGACAAGAAATAAAACGAAGCTCACTCAGTAAGTTTAGGGTGGAAGACAATAGCAACCACTAGAAGCACAGTGGCCCTGTATTGTGGTTTCAAAATTCTCTCACAGCAGATGGTAAATCTGATTTCCTGAAGTCAGGGCTCTATAAAACATGGCTATAAAGGAGGGCAGGCCCTGACGACTGATCCCAAGGTCACTGAGAAAGGGTGTAATTATCAGCCACCCTGGACACATCAGATTAGAGCAAGATGTAAAGTGAAGGTCCTGATAAGAAAGACATGGCACTTGGATTTCTAGAATCAAGAAGCAAAGGAAGAAAGGCATTAACCTCACCCAGAGAAAACAAGAGCAAATTTTATTACTCTATGTTGTATTTTCAGGAGAAAAATGACCAACAGTTAAAACACAGGGCAGTAAAAGATGGAGTTTTCCCATAAATTAATCTTTCTATAAGCTTGTTTTTAGCAGCCGCCTCCCCAAGAAACTATGATTGTCTGAATTAGATTACTGTCATTCCCTCAAAAAGACTTGGGGTTCTGTGTGAGGCAAGAAGAACGCTTATCTCTATGGCCCCAAGGTGAAGTGATAAGAGTCCTATCCTCTAGCAATTCACATTCTAGAATGAGGAATATTTGCAGAGAGGAGGAAGCATATCCAGGGGAGCCCAGTGAGGAGCAAAGCAATGTATTCTGTCTCAACTAACATAAGAATTATAATACCTGGTAAGCATTTGCAGGAAAGAGTACAAGTATTTACTGAGCATCACTTCCCATCAATTACACTGCAATGCACCCAGAAAGAAAGATCTGTTTGTCCGCTATTTGGTATTTAACAGACAGAACTAGCAGGTCGCTGATAGCAGGAGTGGAGACAAGCAGGCCAAAGAGACAAATGTGTATGAACTTGCCCCACACTCTTCCTTGTATGCCTGTATTTTTATTTTTAAGGTCTGTACATCAGGATGCTTGACCTTAATGTATTCATTTCCCACCACCATTTGGCAGAAAAGTCTGAGGATGTGAAGAGAAGGTGGGTACACCGAATAACCAAGACTACTTGCGGCTGAAGCACGATCCTAAGAGTTTCACATGTAACACCTCACCTTGAATCTACTGTTTCTCACTTTGGTTTACAGATGTAGAACTGAGGCCCAGGGAAACCAGGGGATTTCCTCAGTTACACAGCTAGTTCCTGGAGGAACCAATTTTCAAACTAAGGTCATCTGTGTCCCGTCTTAACTGAAAAGCCATGCCACAAATATTCCTTCAGAGCAAACCCAAGCAACGCAACACACAACCACTGGATGGAGGCGCCTGGGATGTAGTCAGCGAGACTCAACTTTAATGTGACTTTTTTTTTTAATGGGCCTGGGCAGAGGGAAGGAAGCTGCCTGAAGACTGAAGTCCTAAAGGCAGTAGTAAAGACGGACATTTCGATGTGCGTGATTTTGGGACTGATTAAGTAATACTTTGCAATCACTCACAGCTAACCTAACTGCTTCCGCCCCGCCCCTGAAAATTCTGGTGGAGAAACACATTTTAGGTGCTCTTCCCACCTAGCATGAAAATTCAGGAAGTATCAAAGTCAATAAGTCACTAAAAGCTACGTCTCTTAGGAAGGGTCAAAGGACAGACAGGTTCTGTGTGTGAAGGAATCCTATGGCCAGCACGCCTTTTTTCTGGCCCACGTGGGCCAAGCTTAACGCAGATCAGTACTGATGGCCAGACATGTGCCAAACTGTTCTCTTCTCAGTAGGAAAACACTAAACCAGACAGGCAGCATCTTTTCTATTTCAAATTATGGCAACCCCATGCAGCTTTAATTACAGTACCTCCTGACATCAATGAACAGGCTACTGAGTGACACAGGACTATGACAATATACTCTATGAGAATTTTTTACTGAAATCCCAATCTCTGGATATTCTGAAACCCAGAAAAGTAAGGTAGCTATATGCAATCTGTTATTACATTTCCAAAATTCTCTTCCTGGTGAAACACTGATTCCCATCCTACCTTCCTCTACTACACTACAGGAGCTGGAGTAAAGCTCAAGTCTGCGAGCCTTTGTCAAGTCCCTGAATATACTCTCTGCTCTGTAGGAGGCAGAAGCAGCTGGGCTGGACCCTCCCTCCGGCTGCTGCTGCAGCACAAATGTACACGCTCCAAGAACAAGAGAAACCACGTACCATTAACACATTCAAAGACATCACAGCACTTTCCGGGTGTCCCATCTCCACGAGAGACTATGCGGGGAGTGGATCCCACCTCACACACGGGGAAACCACATAAGCCAGAGAGACACTCGCATCTGAAACCAAAGAAAAGGGAAGGAAAACCCCATGAATACAACAACATAGAAGTTGGGAGACCACAAACAAAGTGGCAGTGGCAAAGTACCAGGTCTGCATGACTCAGTCTCGTTTATCTAGGGTCACTGGGAGATGGGTGAGGGGAGGGGCCCCCCTGAAATCTGCTTTCCAAGTCACTATAGCTCATCTCCTTTACAGATACAGCTCTTAGCTTTAACCATTTTGGCAGAAAGACTTGTAAGATGCATTACTTCATTTCTTACTTCATCAGACAGGAATGGAGCATAACAAACATTTTTAGGTGCCGTGGGGCCGTCTTTCAATGTATATGTTACGTCATCCTTTGAGTTAATAATGCTCAAAGGGGCCAAGGCGGAGTGAGCCTCCTGCAGGGAGTGGCCCCACGTTGCAGCTTTGCACGGCTGATGTGCAAGCGTCCCCCCAAGTTTTTCCTGTTTCAGCAATTAAGTGATTACCTTCTCAGCCTTCTCTTGCCACTGTCTCTAGGAGCACCCTCAGCTGGAGCAGCTTTAATTTACAATTCTGCAGACTAAGAACCAGGCAAAGACTGACTGAGGGCTCTATAACTGGAAGCATAGGCTTGAACAGACAGACTCCGTGGGCGCTACCTTAGAAGTAGCAAGTCTTAACTTCGGATCTCTCGTCACTATCTGCGCTTCTATCGCTACATACCTCAACGTGGTGTTCAATGGATTACAGGCCGGCTATGCCTGCTCTTACCCTTAACTCCACCTCTGCTGAGAAGCCTGCTTAAGTGCAAAGATCTGGTGACTATATGCAGGCAAAAATAAGAGGAGACCAAATGTCTTATCTGTGACAATGAAACAGGAAGCAGCAAGTGAGATGGAGGGTAGTTGGGTGTCTAGTCAGCCTGTCAAGGCGATGTAAGAAACGAGCAACACACGGCAGTTCCCAGACTCCCCTAAGGGTGGAACTGTGGGCCGGAAGTGGAGGTACATCAACTGGGGAGTTCTCAGGGTCAGAGGAACACAGGTCATCCCAAAGGACATCCTGGCAAGAAGCATGGTGGTATTCATGTACAGTGAGGGTCAAGATCAGGGGAGGTGGTGCTCCCAGCATGGAAGAACTTCTGACATATTCATTTACTTTTTTCCTTCTTATTTAGGTGATTGGTTCATTTCCCTTTGTTTTTTGGATCTTTAGTTGAAATATACTTGTGTTCTTCAAGTACCTCAATAATCAAGATTCGGAGATTTAACGATGTGTACAGTTAACTGTGAAACTAGAAAGGAAAGAAATTAAAATCTGCAACAAAGACCAAAGCTACTGAAAAGGTGAGAGTGGCCCCCTACCGCCATCCCTTGCAGGACTCTTATATGTGGGGTGATGGTTACACTGGACTTCTGGGAGAAGAGGGTGTTAGATGACTAAGGTTTTCTCCAGTGACATTTCTACCTACAGTCTAAAGTAAGTGTCTGCCACTTCAATGTGTGCTGAAGTACAATCTTGCTAATTCGCTGTCTGTATTCCTGCAGGGCAATCATCTTCTACAGCTGAGTAACTGTGAGCCTTGTTTTCAGCATCTGGTTATCCCATACTTTCGCATGCTTATTACCTAGCCACTGTAATTTTACGCACAGTCATATCCCTGTGATTCTTCACCAACAGTCTATTATTTCCACTTACTGCACTGGGCATTGTGTACAATTTGAACTCTTACTATAAGTTTACAGATGGATGAGTCTAGAATATTGAGAAAGGCCACACCCTGGTCCTAATATCTGGATGTGGTTATAATGTATTAAACATCTTACCAGAATAACCTTTTCTTACACATTTTCTAGGATTCAAATTTTTGCCTGCTGATGTATTACAGGGAACTATTATAGTTTAAACATCAAAAAGTGTGCAGCCACCCCCAATACAAAGGCAACTTCAGATGTTGCCTTTTACTATTTCAGCAATCTTTCCCTAACGTGTCTGTGCATTTCTGTGCTAGCTCTCCTGTGGGCTGCTGGAAATTCTGCCACACTGAAAACCACGACTAAGCCTGCCTTACATCCGACTTATGTCCCAACACCGATAGACCTCTACTATCCTCCTAGAGACTCATACTGTTACCTTGCAGAAAATCTAGGCACACACCGCCTATTAATTCATTTGGAAAATGAAAACCTATCATGCCAGATTGTTACTTCTAATGATTGCATAGTAAAGAGCCAATGATTCCTGTTAGCTGCCATGCTCCTGGCTGCTGTCCACCTCTCTAGTTATCCCTCCCAGCCCTCCATATCTGCTGGCATCTTCTGACCTTTGATAGGTTCTTATGAGCCTGAAATTGGCAATCTATAGAAGGAGGAACTTAGGAAGGAACTACAAAAGGTGAAAATCTGGGCTTATGCCACTATCTCTTGGACAGGTCTCTGTTAGGCTGAAATCTTGGAAAACTGCCACTTCTGCAGGTTGCAAATGGTCAAACAGCAATTCCACAGGGTCCAACTGAGCTGAAATTAAATAGGGTTTCCTATTCTCTGTGATTCCCCTAGAAGAAACCAGATTCTTTACTGGGTCAAAGAGGAAATGCTGAATAACAGAACAATTGAAGCATGCACACCACTCCCTGTCCTCATCACCTCTCTTTGTTTTTATGTTTTTCCTCTAATCTTCCCCTTATCCTTTCCCCCAATACCCTGATAAAGAACAAGCCAGAGGAAGGAGAAATCACACGGATTAGGCAGAAGATATGGAGAAACACAAGGCAGCTGCTTAGTCAGGTAGATGGCACCATGCACCTCTCTCCGATGTCCACTCTGCTCTGTCTTTCCTCATGTCAGACTCACAGCCAACAATCTTCAACTACTCTTCATTTCACTCACCAGCGTCTCACCCTAGCACACAGTACTCGAAGGCACGCACCTTTCTTCTGCTGTTTCCCTCTCCTTTCCGTGCTGTCCGTGGAAGCCCTCTCTGCTGCATGGGCACTGCTCGCCCACTGGCTCCCCGGCATTCCCGCTGCAGCCCTCCTCTCGGCTCTCTTTCTATGCTGCACTAGCTCCTTCTGTGAGCCCCAAACACCACCCCTGTTTGCAGCCCTTCTCTCCTCCCAGGTGGCATACGCATCTGGCCACAGGCTCTTTTCTGTAACTGTCAAGCAGTCACGAAGGAAACCTTTCTGGTGGGTGGAGCCTGAGATGAAGCAGAGAGGGGTGCAGAGCACTGAGACTCCGGGATAAAGGTCCCTCTAGGCAGAGCTAAGTGCCCAGCAATGGACAGAGTGTCAAAGGCTTTAGAAACCAAGTCAAAGCAGCTTTACTGAGGTGGAATTCACATACCGTATTGTCCACACCTTTACAGCATGCAATTCAGTCACTGTATATTTACAAGGCTGCACACCCATCACTGGTACCTGATTACAGAACATCTGTGTCACCTCAAAAAAAAATCTGCTCCCTGCTATCAGCCTCTCCATTCCCTTAGCAACTACTCATCTGTGCTGTCTCTGTGCACTTGCCTTTTTTGGACAATACATATAGATGGAATCATACAGTAGGAGGGCTAAGGGGTCATAAACTTCAAACAAGCAACCTGTATTTGCAATTTGCTAGAAAAAATCCTCTAATGTTATCCTCAGTATTAAGATAACGATCAATCAAAGTACCACGTTAACAGATTTCTGCATAATGCAATCACGGCTGTAGTCAGGTGTCTCTGTCTCTGTCCCTCTGTCTCTGTCTCTGTCTCTTTTCTTTTTCTGAAGTGGGTAATGGAATCAGCATAGTGGGCATCTGAGTGCCTGAGTGCAAAGATGACCAGCTCTTGGCCATCATTGAGCCCCTACAGGACACTCACCTCCTTGGGAGGCTACGCCCCTGGCTGGTCTGCAAATGAAAGGTCGTCAGCGCATGCTCAGCCTTTCTCCCCATGTTCCCTGCTTCCTGGACTGCACAGACAGCTGCAGCCAGGTCAGAAGGCCAAAGTTCAGCTTGTGAGGCATCCATAAATTGGCCTCTTTCTTTCAGCTTCTAGCTACTACTGGGTACTCCAGCCATCTGTACTCTTGCAACAAAGAGTTGTCGCCTTTCACGGACTCTACCTATGCCCTAGCTCAGAGGCCCACTCAGTCTCAAATCCTCTTCTTTCCTTTGCCTCTGGAGAATACCCTGGGCCTGAAAGACCACCTCAACCTAATAGGCTTTCTCTGGTTAAGCAGCAGCAGCAGCAGCAGCAGCAGCAGCAGCAGCAGCAGCAGCAGGAATTGGGATTCATTTTTGCGCTGCTACATGAGAACCTAGCTCTTAAGAGTGTATCTGTGTGTGCACCACACTAAGTTAGAAGGGGGATGGCTTCTGTGTCTTATAAATGAAGAAATGAGTGCTTGTGATATCCCAACAAAAAAAATCTTGAACAACTTTTTCTCATGGTTATTAAATCAGGGGTTATAACATGCATAGTTGTTACTTTATTTTTACACATATCAGACTGAGAGCTTTAAGTATATGTTTTTAAAATGAGTATAAAGAAGAAAAGACCAAAGAATTTGCTTTCCATGCAAATCTAGGCACTATACTTGAGAACTATTTTTCTCTCAGTCTAAAGAGGTATCACAGAATCTATTCAGATCCCACCCTCTCTGGAGGAACCGAAACCCACTCCCTGAGCATCTGGGTGTGCAGGGTCTGGGCCACTTTAGCTTAATGTGCAGTTACACAGCATGGCTGGTTTTTACATTTTAATGACAGCAATGCTTATCAGTATACATATGTCCTGAACCATTTACAAAGATTCCTTCCTAACTATACGGCTTTGCTCAGGAGAGACACTGCACCTGAGTGAGTGAAGGAAAGAACCTTATTAATTTATCCAGTACTGCCCTCCTCCAGAAGAATGTGTAGCAAGCTCTAGCAAACCACACAAACTCATAAAGGCTTGGTTTTCTTATCTGTAAAGGGAGGTGGTTGGATCATAGCAAACTTTCTTCTAAGTACTGTAGAAAATCCCATCCTCATCACTCCTGGGG